TCTCACACCTCCACCTTAGTCCTCCACACGTACACTTATACCTTATACCTCAATCTCAACCTCCACCTCCTCAGTCCTCCACCTCCTCATCCTCCACCTCCTCAGTCCTCCACCTCCTCAGTCCTCCACCTCCTCAGTCCTCCACCACCTCAGTCCTCCACCTCCACCACCTCAGTCCTCCACCTCCACCACCTCACCTCTACCTCCACCACCTCAGTCCCACCTCCACCACCTCAGTCCTCCACCTCCACCACCTCAGTCCTCCACCTCCACCACCTCAGTCCTCCACCTCCACCACCTCAGTCCTCCACCTCAGTCCTCCCCACCACCTCAGTCCTCCACACCTCAGTCCTCCACCTCCTCAGTCCTCCACCTCCTCAGTCCTCCACCTCCTCAGTCCCCACCTCCTCAGTCCTCCTCAGTCCTCCACCTCCTCAGTCCTCCTCAGTCCTCCACCTCCTCAGTCCTCCTCAGTCCTCCACCTCCTCAGTCCTCCATCTCAGTCCTCCTCCACCACCTCAGTCCTCCACCTCCACCACCTCCACCTCTCCACCAACGACCATCAAGCTGCCTCCACTTGTCCAACAGGTAGCAATGACGCGTGGTTTCAGGTGTCGATACCAGACAGGGTATTGGAGCATGGAGGGGGGGGGATGGGGAAGAGAGTTGGTTGAGTGTGAGGGAAGGGGGAGGGGGAAGGGGGAGGGGGAAGGAAGGGTTAGGAGGAGAAGGGAAGGTTGGGGGAGAGGAGAAGGGTTGGGAGAGGAGAGGAGAGGGAGAACCTCTTCTTCCTTCCCGTTCCCTCTTCAATTTCCTCTTCCCCTCCCTCCCTCTCTCTTCCTCTATCTCTCCTCTCCCTCTATCTCTCCTCTTCCTCTCCCTCTCCCACTCTCCTTCCCCATCCCTCTTCCTCTATCTCTCCCTCTCCCACTCCTTCCCCATCCCTCTTCCTCTATCTCTCCCTCTCCCACTCTCCTTCCCCATCCCTCTTCCTCTATCTCTCCTCTCCCATTCTCCTTCCCCATCCTCTTCCTCTCCTCATCCCTCTTTCCTCTCCCTCTCCCTCTAAAACCACACACACACGAATCAAATCAAACATTCCAAAAAATAATAACAATAATAAAATAAAACCAATTACCACACTTTTAAGATCTACTTCCCCTGTATACACACGTCTTCACTCTCTCCAAGGGGTAATAAAACCATAAAGAAGAAACATAAAATTAACAATAAACCACTTTTTTCTTTCTTTTTTTTTCTCTCCACCTCGTAAATTAGTATTATTTACGTGGATGCTCGACCCTCCACTGGCTTTGTGGAGTAGGTCTGGTGCAAGCGGTGGTGGAAGAAAAAAAGAAGAAGAGGAGAGGAGGAGGAAGAGGAGGAGGAGGAGAGGAGGAGGAGGAAAGAAAGGAAGGAGGATGGTGTGGAGGTGGTGGTGAAGCTTTGGAACAGGTAGAAGAGGCAGGAGAGGTAGAAGAGGAGGAGGAGGAGGTGGAAGAGGAAAAGGGGAGGTGGTGACGGAGGAGAGGTGAAGAGGAGGAAGGGGGAAGGAGAAGAGAAGGAGGAAGGAGGAAGGAGAAGAGGAAGGAGAAAGAAGAGGAAGGAGGAAGAAGGAAGAAGAAGAAGAAGGAAGAAAAGAAGAAGAAGGAAGAGGAAGAAGAAGAAGAAGAAGAAGAAGAAGAAGAAAAGAAAGAAGAAGAAGAAGAAGAGAAGAAGAAGAGAAGAAGAAGAAGAAGAAGGAGAAGAAGAAGAAGGAGGGGTGGTGGCGAGGTGGAGGTGAAGCAGGTTTTGGAAACAGGTAGTGGAGTCGAGTTGGTGTTGAGTTCTATGATGGTGGTGGAGTCAGTGGTGGCGATCAAGGTGTGACGGAGGGTGCGGTAACGATAGTGTGACAGAACGACAAAATAATGAAGCCAGTGCCATAATGATAGAACTATAGAAAAAAAAGAAAAAAAACGGGACAGATTCTAGAAACTATTAAAAAGAAATAAAAACGGGACGGATTCTTCTCAAGCCAAATTGGCACCTATGCTCATTTGTCAACAGAAGGCTTTAGAATCAGATTACGACAGGTTAACTAGATAATAAATGATGATCCCGTGCTCTCAAACAGGATCCCCCATTGAAGTCAGACATTTATGAACATATAAAGACCATTAAGAAATTTAAAGTTACCAAGCAAAAAAATCCCGTTTTATGACGACGTCGCCAAAGAAGTTTCATTCAAGGTAGACTTAAATATTGAATCGGTATCCATGTTTATACTGAACACTTCAACTGTTCAGTATAACAACATTTTGTACATGTATCATATCCCGTCTGCTTTTACATATACAGCAAATTTTATCGGATACATGTAAAGAAAAAGTCGTTTTACAAGCAATATGGATGCAAAAATTGATAATAATAATAAATAATATATAAAAATAATAATAATAAAATAATTATTATTATTATATTATTATTATTATTATATATTATTATTA